TAAGTTCTAACTTCTAACTAAGATAAATAAGAATAATTAAGTGAGTGGGTGGGTGATAGGACTTAGGAGTTAGGACATAAGAGTAAGACCTCGAGGCTGGACCTGTTGARGGACAGAGGCTGGAGCAGAAAACTGAAGTCGAGGCTGGAGCAGAAAACTGAAGTCGAGGCTGGAGCTGTCGATTGAGCAGAAAACTCAGGGAGTCACCAAGGAYCTCGAGGCTGGAGCTGTTGCTGTTGCTGACTTGCTGTCGATCRCGATTTTTACAGCATAGTTGCTGACTTGATGTCGATTGCTGACTTGCTGTTGTTGCTGTCGGTCGATTACTCGTTCGTTCGTGAAAAGATGAATTGTGAACTGAAGTCGAGTCGCAAAGATGAAAAGAAAGGGAATGGAAGCGAAGCAGACCGTTGGCGTGAAGGAGATGGTGGCCAGTTTTTTGAGACCTAACTTATCCAAAAAATCTAAGCCCATAAAATAAGAGAAGCCCAATAAATCTAAGCCCCTAAAATAAGAGAAGCCCAAAAAATTGTACCCTATAAAATATCGAGATATCGGTCGATATTTACTACAAAATATCGCTACATATCGGGAAAATATCGGACAATATCGCCGATATTATCGGGAACGATATTTTGGGCGATATTTAGGAAGCGATATATTTCTTCCGGCCGATATACGATATATCGCCGATATATCGACGATATATCGCGATTTTTACAGCATAGAGTAAAAGTTATAGTGATCTAGTCACATATATGTAATGATACCTTTGTTTCCTTGGTAGCTATTGGCCTGTGTGACGTTTCTTGATTCATTATGGATTTTAACAAGGATATCCTATTGAGCGAACTAGAATAAAACATTATTACTATTTTGATTTGATCGTGACCTATCATTTTTACATTTCAGAGAAGGGCTAATGTCTTATAAGCAGTTTATTCAGGAGCTCGAAGATGATATTTTGCCATCAGAAGCTGAACGAAGGTATATTAAGTGTCCTTGTACAGTTGTACTACAATTTGGTATTTGTAACACCTGAAATTTGGAAAGAGCGACTAATTTAAAATTTTCTAATTACATCAATTCTCTAATGGGCAATAACATAATCACCTAAATGACAATTTAAGGTTTAACATTAATGATTACAAAACAAACCTTACACAGGGTCTATAATAGGGTGGAGTGTTGCTAAAACTCAACAACGGTTGCTATCTCCAACATATAAAAAGGTGTCCATGGATAGCTAATTCCATCTTGGACCTCTTTCTAGCACTCCATCTTATATAGTGTTGCTAGAACCAATTCTCAAAAAGGACCTGATGCACATGCTACAAATAAAAAGGGTTAGGCTTAATGCTAGTGAGGTCAAACAGTTTTCATCTTTAATGTAAAATAATAAATTGGGAGATGTTATTTAGATCACAATTCCAAAATAGAATCTATTTAGTATGAAAACGTTTTTATCAAAACCATCATTTTTGTGATGAAAACTTGGTGACCAAAGCGCCCCTATTAACATGAAGTCAAAACCCTACTCACCCAAAACGTGAATAAGATTTAATATTCAAATATTGAAACATGGGTACGACTAATATCCAAGATATCCAAAGATCATAGTATTGTCCAATGCCCAAAACAACAAAACATGAATAAATTTCAAAATACCAAAACCATAAATTATGGATGCACTCTGTACCCAAAGTAACTTTGAAAACATGGATAATACACCTTTTGGTTACGGGGGAGACTCGTTTCCATCAAGTGGCGGAACACGAAGTAAGCCACATTGAGATGTTGACGAGTAAATCACCCCTAGCATAAAAAGCCTTGGTAATTAAAACTTCTTACTTGGTCATTCCCGAAGTTACAAGATGAGAACATCAAAACTTCTCTCTTATCATTACCAAAGGGTTCAAGCTAAGAACGTCAAAACTCCTCACTTGCCTAAACCTTATGGCTCCAAGGTGGGAACATCAAAACTCCTCGCTTGACAAAAACACGACTGACACAAATGCCTATGGATCCAATTCATTACAGTCTAAATTACATGGGTTCAAATGAATGACTAACACACTTAAACCATATAATTTACCAAATAAATATGTCATAATTGCATATAACTCCAAAAGCTCGATGTAGAGCAAATTAAACCGGACAAATGTCCCTAAAACTCATCTAGTCAAAAGCTCAACAATTCAATTGACTATTCAATAGAAGTCAACATAAACCAACAAAATGTAAATACTCAGCATTTGAGCCACATATACATCAGAAGGTTTGAAAATGAATACCACGAACTGAAAGGTTGGGCAAAAATCCCAAACTGGTCTTTATATCAAATTTAAGCCATTAAGATTTTTCACATGTTGGACTAATCCAATAATTCATCATAAACCCCAAAAATGCATTTAAAGGGGTTTAATACGTATCATGACTCAAAATACCATAAAGGCCAACAAAGCTAAATCATGCTTATAAGAACCAATATACCAAATGCATTATCATCAAGTAACCTCAAATGACAAATAAACCATCAAAACCCTCAACTTCATGATTTATGATCAAATATCCAAAACCCCAAATAGGTGTATTTCCTAAGATTTTATAAAATCAAATGTATCAAAGATGTAAAATTCATCTAGATAATCAACATATTTGCTAAATATCAATAAAACATCTTAAGGCTCCAAAATCTAGATAATCAACACATTTGCTAAATATCAATAAAACATCTTAAGGCTCCAAAATAGATGTCTTTGACATGTACAAAGTTTTCACAAAGTAGCTTGAACTCACCTTGCTAGGTTAAGTTAAACCTAGGTTCCAAACCCATCTCTAGTTTCCAAAATGATGAAGGCTTTAGATCCACAAATATCCAACTCTAGAAACGTTACCTAGGTCACAACCAAGCCTTGAAATGTATCATAAGTAACCCTAAAATCAGATCCATAACAAACTTTAGTCAAAACCTTAGATCACTCAAAATTGGTCAAAACCCATAATATGAAAGATACATCAAGAAGGATGTTCTAGGAGGTTAAAATGAAAGGTTTTAACATGAATAAAGGTTTAGAAAGGTTAGGGTGAACTTACAAATTGGTTTTAGGAAAACCCAAAAACTTAGGTTAACAATGGTGGAAGGATGAGGATGAAAATGGAGATCTTGACTTGGGATCCACAAGTTTTGGATCTCTATCTTTGAGAACTTCGAACTATATGCAAAATCTTCAAGATCCTCGAGAAAATCGACCAGAAAGGTCTTTAGGAGAAAAACCCTTAAACCTACTCAACAATGGTGGGAAAGAGATGGAGAAGATGAAGATGATCTTGAACTCCTAACCTCTAAACTTGAATCTCTAAAATGTTCAAGAAGATTTCAATTTGGTGGATTAAATATGCTTGGACCGAAAATGGGAGAGAAGAGAATGAGTTGGTGAAAGAAATGAGACGAAAAGGAGAAAATTTCGGGTTTAAAGGGGCTGTAGGTCCAGATTCTGCCCCACTTCACGGGCGTGAAGCCCCCCTTTGCGGGAGTGAAGAAATGCTGCCAGTGAACTTTCTGCCCACCTTCACTGGCGTGAAGGGTACCTTTCACAGGTGTGAAGAAAAGCTGTCAAAAATGAGTTCTCTTATCTTTTTATCACCAAACCTAACCACTTCAAGGTATCGATTAAGGTTTGTTCTAATGTCAAAAATGCATTTAAAACCCGTAATTATACCCTCCAAAAATCCAGGTGTTACAGTATTAGTTTGGCCTTTTTTATGCTTTAGATTGTTGATTATCGTAGTCTTCTTGCTCTGCAGGTATCAGGAATACAAATCAGAATATATAACAACTCAGAAACGTGCCTATTTTGATGCTCATAAAGGCGAAGATTGGTACTTTTTGCATCTTCTCTCCCTTTTTAACTTTGATGATTATGTTTTTTCTAGTCTGATACTTGCTTTTACGTGTAGGTTGAAAGATAAATATCACCCCACAAATTTGCTTGCTGTTATTGAAAGGTGTGCCTTTTTGTATTCTGTAGCAGAAGCTCATTGTCACATTTAAAATGGATCTTACCCTTGTTTATCAGTTAGTGGTTCTTTATTGCTATTACCCTCTTGTCATCTTGCCTTCATCTTGATAATTGCTTGCATGCTTCCAGTTATATTCTTTTCTTAAAATTTTCTCTTCCAGGAGAAATGAATTTGCTCGAAAGCTGGCTAAGGAATTTTTGCTCGACTTGCAGAGTGGATCGTTAGATTTGTAAGAGATACTGCCATGCTAGTTCCTTCATTTTGTTTTTTAAAATATCAAGACCATTAACATCTCTTTCTTTTACAGAGGACCTGGAGTTACTGCTTCATCTTCAAACAAATCTGGGCAGACAAGTAATCCCAATTCTGAAGATGAATTAGATATGGGTGGCAAAAGAAGACGTCATGGCCGGGTTTCAGCAAAAGATTCTGATCCGTTATCAGCTGCTCCGAAGGCTCACCCAGTCAGTTATGAACCCAGGCGGATACAAGCTGATGTTGAACAAGCACAAGCACTTGTTAAGAAACTGGACTTGGAGAAAGGAATAGAAGATAATATATTATCTAGGGCTGATAATGATAGAACACACAGAGAAAAGTCTCATGGTGGCTCCAGTGGCCCAGTTGTTATTATACGTAGTTTAGCCTCAGTCAAAGGTCTTGAGGGTGTTGAGTTACTCGATACACTCATTACTTATCTTTGGCGCATTCATGGTGTGGATTACTATGGACTGGCTGAGAGAAGTGATGCCAAGGGTTTACGGCATGTGAGGGCGGAATCCAAAAATTCTGATGCAAAAAATAATGGAACAGAGTGGGAAAAAAAATTAGATTCGCGTTGGCAGGAAAGATTGAAGGGTCAAGATCCCTTGGAGATAATGACTGCAAAGGAAAAGATAGATGCTGCTGCAGCCGAGTCATTGGATCCCTATGTTCGCAAAATTCGGGATGAGAAGTATGGTTGGAAGTATGGTTGTGGGGCGAAGGGTTGCACAAAGCTATTTCATGCTGCCGAGTTTGTTCACAAGCATTTGAAGCTGAAACACCCTGAACTTGTGATGGAGTTGACTTCTAAAGTTCGTGAAGATCTGTATTTCCAAAACTATATGAAGTGAGTGCATCTCTTGACAGCCTTTTTTTCTATATGCCTTTTGGGAAATGGTGTTGATAAAAATATTTGAAACCCACAGTGATGAAGATGCACCTGGTGGGATACCTATTATGCAGCCTTCGTTACCGGTAATACTCCCATTTCTGTCAAATTTGTTGTTTGACCATGATTATTAGTTTATGCTCTGAAGTTCCTCTGCAAGACTAATTGATTGCATTATGCAAGTTCCTGTTGGTGCTTCCATTCACTTGAATAATGTTCGATTTAGAAGGTATTTATCCTTATGCTGAAAGTGGCACCACTATGGCACTATTGATTTGGAAGTTGCTGGTGTTGCATTCATGTTTTCTTTCATTTCAAATGTTAATCTGAACATCTGACTTGCCTCATTGCGGTTGTATATCCCTGTGGAATCTGCTTCATAAGCTAAACATAATCGGCTGCATCACGCTTCTCATAATTCAAATCCAGGGTTCAGAAGAAAAAGGATATTAGGTGCCCTGGGCAGAAAGTTCAAATTTTCTAGGAGTGCCACTGAAACGGAGTTACTAATTAGGTTTCATTTATTTATTTATTTATTTATTTATGGTTTGGGGAGGGGTAGGTAACTTGACGGGCCTGATATTTACAAGTGACAGGTTTTCTAACAATTGCTAGTAGGCTTGAGCTTTAGCGTGTCCATTAATTATTGAAATGTTAAAAGGTCAAACTTGAGCATAGGGAAGGAAAATTTGCTTCACTGGATGGCCAAGGAAATAATGACATTTATACAAGAGTACAAGCTTGGTCTTGATGCTAAGGTGAGATTGACGCTATCTGTTAGTAGCTGAGATAATCACTTGATTGGAAGGTGTTCCAAATTTTAGGAGTTTGTTGTATGGTCGCGTCTTTTTGCCAGACTTTAGATCTCCAAAAAGTAATTTTAAACTTCTTCTTTGGCATGTGTAACTTTAAAGTTTAGCACAATGTTTGCTATCTTTGCCTTTTAGCCTGTAAAACCTGAAAGTTATTCTTTATAGCTCTAGCATAGAATTAGCAATTGCTCTTACCACACCATTAATTTGATAACATGCCATGATAATATATGCTGTAACAGTCTGCTTCAGCTTCCATCTTTTGTCAGCTTATTGTACCAATGGAAACATTAGATTGCATAATGCGTTTTATGTTATATACATATACACACACATACATACATACATACATACATACATACTCCCAGTGAGGTTCAAATGAGAATGACAAAGGTTCAGAAGATGTCAGATGAGCTGATCCAATGTATGTGATTAAAAATGTGGTTACAACCAATTATTTTTAAAACAAAAAAGATTTCCCCCCCTTACCTTTTAAATAGGAAATAGGTGAAATATAACCAAAGTTGAAGCCAAACAAATTATATCAAAAACGAGCATTTTATTCTTTTTATTTGGCATCCATATGGTTAAATTTTTATCCCATTTTTTCATCATTCTCATCGCTTTGTCATCCTCATCTGCACCTGCCCCTATATATGTATGCATCTCTCTCTCTCTCTCTCTCTATATATATATATATATATATATATATATAAAATATATAGAGTCCCATTCAAGGGAGAACTGATTAGTTTGTGGTAACCGTGAGATCCAATGTGAACCACTTGTTTGAGATATTTAAGGATATTTCTTAAATAAGCTAAAAGGGTAATATAGTGTTTCTATTTTGATAATTAATCAAAATATTTAATTAATTTTTTTTGAAGGAAATATTTAATTAAAATTAGTTACCTAGTATATCAATTACCTAATATATATCGTATTTTGAAGACGTTTGTGAATCAAAGTGTATCATAGTAATGGCGTTCACAATGTATTTTCTTTGTTTTATGAAATGTATCAAAGTGTGCATTTTCGCTGTTTTCATTGCTTTACAAAGGGTATCACATTGTGCATCTTGTATGTATATCTGGGTATCACAGTGAATATCGTTTGTAGGTATCACACTGTGTATCCTGTGTTCACATAAGGTTTATCAGAATAAGGTTCGCCGAATAAGATTTGCTGGAGAGAGGAAAGAGGAGAGACGAGAGAGTATATTTATAAAATCCCTAAAATCCCTTGATTAATATTTTACGTTAAAATTACGAAAATTATTGATTTCCTAATTTAACCTTTGATTTGTGGTTGAGATTGGATGTCACGGTTACCAGAAACAAAACAGTTCTCATTTGATTAGACCCCTATATATATAATATTTATATAGGACATATATTCACTCACCCTGTTCACCTATGGTGATGATGTGATGTTTAAACTTTTGACCTCCTACCGATGCCTCTTTGCAGAAGGAGAAAGGACAGAGGCGTAGAGGTGGTGTTGATAATCGAATGAAAGAAGAGAGAGGTAACCGCAGAGAATATGATGGCAGAAGCAATAATGGAGGTGAAAGATTTGAGAATACAGAGTCGAACAATGATGACGAACAACAGATGTATGATTCTTACCCATTCCCTTCGGACATACCTCCTCCTCCAGTATTGATGCCGGTACCTGGTGCTGGGTAAGAGCTTAGATTAGATTTTGTTGGCAGTACCATGAGTTGTGTGTGTGTGTGTGTGTATATATATACATATATGATGATGATTATTATTTGCAGTCCATTGGGTCCTTTTGTTCCTGCTCCTCCTGAAGTTGCAATGCGGATGCTGCGAGACCAGGGGGGACCTTCTTCTTTTGAAGGTGGCAGCAGAAATGGGCCCCAGATGGGTGGTGGTGGTGGTGGTGCTCCAATAATTGCGCTACCTCCATCATTTAGACAAGATCCCCGTCGTTTACGAAGGCGAGTTCATGTTTCACTATGAAGTTTTTTATTTATACATTTTGTTTGGTAGTTATTATTATTTATGTTGACAAATTGTTTAGAGGATTAAAGTGTTGATATGTGCAGTTACCAAGATCTTGATGCTCCAGAGGATGAGGTAACGGTCATAGACTACAGGAGCCTGTAGGCCGATTTTGTGGGTGGCTCCATCTCAGCACATCTACTTTCTTAAGAAGAAAGTTTGGAACTTGTATTTCTTGGTGAAGGAGATGAAAAAAAAATGGATGGATGATTTCAATTATTTTTGGGAGTTGGGTTGGGTTGGGTTGGGTGTTTGTTACTAATGGATTTGCAATTGCACGATTGATGATGAACATGAGATTTTGGTGGTGGTTACATTTTTATTATTCGTGTTTGAACCCTTGTACCTCTTCTTGGTGTTGGTGTTGGTGTTTATATAGTGTTTTTAACACTGTTAAATATATTTTATTTTATAGATATGTTGTGACCAGGTTTAACAAAAATACTTATTTTGGAAGACTTTCTTTTTCAATGTGAACACCAATTACGATGCTATATATGAATAGTGTCTGTCATAAGAGTTAACGATACAAGCCAACCAACATCTTAATTAAAAATAGCCTTACATTCTTTGAGTAGCTCTTCTTTGACATTTGATTTTTCTTTTCAACAATCGCCTACATCTTTTACAATACAAAAAAGTTAAATTTCAATTAAGAGAGCCATTTATGCATACATCCATTTTGGTGCATATTGTTTAATGGTTATAGCGATTTTAGTCTCATCTCTGTTGTTTTTATTTTCGTCCCTTTATCTAACACCGTTCAAAATTTATTTGAGAAATTATATATTTAAAGTTTTTAATATTTATGCTTACATTTCATTTAGTAAACTAAAAATTTGGAACATTATATATATATATATATATATATATATATTTTATATCATTTTCTTTCTTTATTATATATTTTAATATTACAATACATTTCCTAAAAACAATGGGTTGGTATAGAAATAAAACAATTTTTTTTTTCTCAATGAACTTTTTTAGATGATAATCTAAAATAAATAAAAAGTTTAAGTAAATCAATGCTATCAATTTTAAGAGATTTCGATATAATAAAACTTTGAGAAAAACATATCATTTATTTAACAATATGGTTTTCCATTTTAAACTAACCGGTTTTTAGATTAAAAATGCCAACCAAGTTATTATTAATTAAAATATCAAAATATTTATTTTTTTATTAATTACTAGAAGAGTACTCGCGCAATGCAGCGAAACGCATCTTCATTTTAATATTCTATTTTATTATTTGTTTCTGTCGATGTTATAATACGATTTTATGTGTTTTTAAGAAAACAATAATGATTTTTTTTTTGAATAAAATATAAACTTGAAGATATCATAAAATTTTAAAAATATATACATCAATGTTAATATCAAATCAATTATTTAAAAATTCTCGTTTTTTATTATAATTTAATTTAAGTTTAATAATGAAATAATTTATTTTTGATTTAATAATATAACATTTTATAAATATAATAATTAAGTATTATGTTAGAACTCAATGATTATCCTAATTATATTTTAGATTTTTTATATTTAAAATGAAATGTTTATCCTGTATTTGATTATGTTTATCTGCAATTAGCTACACGAATTCAGACATGGAGCTGTAATAAGTTGTACTTAAGCACAATCTACTTGCAATCTTGAGTTTTAAATAATATGCATTAATAAACAGTACTTTACGTAAAAAAGTGATTTTTAAGAGTTTTTGTCAAATGTTTTATTGTGACATCCGTCACTTTTGGAGCGTCAGGTTAGTATCTTTAAAGGGATTCTTATAATCAGGATTTTAATTTATTAGGGATTAGACATGTTGATGAGAAAATCAATCGACTTAACTCCCAAATTATAGTTCCGAAAACTCTGTCTCAACGGGTAACTGATAAAAGTAATCTATGTAATGCCAAAAGGATTAAAAATTTCTCTTAAAATAAATAATGTCAATATTATAAATTCAAATTTAAAAATATAAAGTTTCATCTGTATGTATAAATAATTTTTACAAAATTTGGAATTTTGATTTAATAATGGATAATTTTATCGGTATTTGATAAAATGTATTTAAATTTATATTAGTTTGGGCTGAGTTTGTATAAGAAAATGAAAATAAGAATATTGTGGTTGGGCCTTGTATGGACCGGCCCCTCTACCTTCATATAAAAACCCCATCTCTTTTGAAAATCATTCATTTCACCTTCACTTTTTCCCTTTTCCCTCTCTCTCTAAACCTTTCATCTTCCTCCAACCGAATCTAGGTTCCAAAAATCCTTCTTGATTTTCTAAATCTTGAAGAACACTCAAGTCTTCAAGAAAAAATCAAGCTGAAAGGTAATGCGAATGGTTTATTTTCGAATCTTTTAACAACAATAACCCTCATATATTTATACTTCTTGCTCCTTAAAGAGTTCAAAATTTTATAGACAGTCTAAGATGAGAGATTATTTCATCAAGACATGAAAATGTTCCCAAAATGATGATAATTTATGATCTATGAACTTAGGACTCAAGAAAACGGATAAAACTACATTGCATGTAGTATTTAATCAATAAAAATGGAATTTTGAAAACTGACAGGTTGTTTCTAACAATCCTGTCGACTGTATTCTTTAAAAATCAACCCAAAATATTTGATTTATGTTGGAGTTTGTTTGATTAGTTGTTGTTTTACTATTTTGGGTCTCACTCAAGGATATCGAGTTTTGGGGCATTTAAATGTTTAATATACAATTTTTAGGGGCAAAAATAATGCTGTTAGACAAAAGAAATCTAACGACAGTGATTATTGTAGTTTTAAAAGATTAAAAGTAAAATGATTTTTGGAAGGTTCCCTTGACAATGATTGGTGAAACCAAGAGTCCAGGAACATAATCTGTATATCTGTCCAAATAACAATTTTTGTGCAAAAACCTTTTGTTTAATTAAATATTGGGTTATTTTTGGTATCAACTTTAATCCATAAAGGTTTATTGGCATTACATAAGATATAATTTTACTTTATCTATATCGTAATCCAATGGGTGATCTAACTATTGGAATTTCGAGTGTTTAGGACATTAATGCGGACGCTGGTGCTCTAAGCTTCACCAAAACCTTGGATATTCATCTTCAAACTAGTGAGTTTTTCACGGCCTCACTTTTACTGTTTTTAGTTATTTTGAACTGGGGAAAAAACATGAAAGGATGCAAACTTTACTGTTTAGATGTAAAACTAATGGACTAACGAACTGTTTAGTCGAATATTGCGAAATTCATGAAAAGTTGATTATTATTGCACTATTTATAAATTGTAAATTGATGTGCTTGAGAGGATATTTCAAAAAGTCCCCGTCCGTACATGCTACTAGTTAACTTGGGCAAGTCCCCGGGCCGTGGTAATTGTGTATAGCCGCTATTGTGTTGACAGTCCCACCAGAAAAGGGTGCACATTACCTAATTTTTCATAAGTCTACTCATGTGTGCGAAAAGGGCCACCGCTGAAGTAGTACTGATACGAACTGTGGTACCTAAGTGAGTGAACGGGCCACTTATGGTAGTTCGTAGACAAATGGGGCACATTGGTCAGGTAAGGCTCTGTAGCGTCTCAAGTTTTTTTTTAAGCATCGATGGAAAAATTTACATTTATAATGTGCATGTTATGTATAAGTTTGCAAGTTGTGATTTATGCATTGTAAGTATTTTGTGCATATGAAAACCTGTGAAC